AGCCAGGCTGGACTGGCCTCCCTGGGCGGCCCCAGCCAGGCCCCCTCCCAGAGCTGGGCTCCGACACAGACCTGCGCTTTACAGGCGGAGGGAGGGGGCCCAGAGCGCAAGGAAGTGAGAAGAAAGACCAAGGCTCTTGTCTGACTCTCGTTCCCATGGAAACCTCCAGTGGTCAGACAGGAGCAGTGCAGTCTGGGAGACCTACCCGCTGGGGGCACCTGCCCCTCCTCACCCAGAGATGCCCACCGCGCCCCTGCTGGTGCCTCATTGGCTTCCAGATGGGGGTCGGCTCCCCTCCCCCACCCCAGCAGCCCCTCATCCGAACTCTGGTCTTCCCAGTGAGAAGGCGAAGGGTCCGCACTTTGCATTTCCTGGGGGTCCCGGGCCAGCCTGAGGACCCTCAGCTGCCCCATTCCCCGGGGTGGGTCCCCTGAGCATGGCACTGCTCCTCCTCAGGGCACAAGTGCCTGCAAAGCTGGTCCAACCACCTGCTTCCCGCACGTCTGCTTCTGTGGTCACACCCAGGATGTCGGTCAGTGCAGCAAAGATCCTACATCATCTTGGATCACACCTCCTCTCCTCTCCTGCCTGGGGCGTGTTGCTGTGGTTGGAAATGGTCTCCCTGCTCCCCAGACGCCCCCCCCCCGCCCAGGCAGCCTGGGTGTCAGGGACCCAGGCCCTTGAGAAGGACCTTGAACCTCTTGGAGGCTTTCTCTTCACTTGTCCAGTGAGGCGACCCCGTGCCATCGTCTCACAACTGCTGTTCAGTGCTCTGCCTCCCTGCATGCAATGGGGCTGGGACTGTTTGGGTCCCCAGGGGAGGGCCTGGCACCGTGTAGATGTTCTATAGATGGACAGACTGGTGGGAGAGTGGAGGGAGGGAAGGAGAGGCGCATGGGTGGGGGGTTCCTCAACTGCCTGGTGGTGGTTACCAGAATGAGACGAGAGGAGACAGGGTGTGAGCAGAAGCTCCTGTTGGCGGGGGGCAGCACTTGGACAGGTCTGGCCCCTGTGTGGGTCTGTGTGGGCGGACCAGGGA